AATAAATGGGTTTTTAAATTGTCCCAAAGGGTCGTTAAAAGTAGTCAATTTTTCAGCCAATCTTTCTGCAACAGAGCAGTAATATTCGTTAAGAATGTTTGGTGAAAGTGGAACTTCATGTACTTTATTAGATTTACCTCTTAGCTCATTTATTACTTGCCAAGTCTCTTTCGATTTATTTTCAGCTTGCTCGAATCTACTTTTATAGTAATTTTCTTTTGCTTGTCTGACAACTTGCCTATAGATACTGCGGTATCTACTAAAGTATCTTTGAAATAAGATATCACTATTAAACTTCCGAATATAGTGTAGCGATCGCATATTATTTGCTGAAATTTTTATGCCCTGAGTAATCCACTGTTTTCTCTGCTTGATTTTTAATTTTCGGATCGGAAATGAGCTATTGAAAATATTCACCAAATGACTGTAAAAATTTGAGAATGAATCTTGTTCATTGTTCACAATGTCCCAATTGGTATTCAGGCATGCATTATAAAATTTATCATAGTTTTTTTTACTGTATAATCTACCAAATCTGAATTTATTTCTGTTTACTATAGAATTTACTTTACAGCAGCATAAAATAGCTTCATGGTCGGACAAGCCAGATGAAGTAATATCCCAAGTAATATATTGTTTGTCCAAATTCGTACATATATAATCTATAGTTGTGGCAGAATACTGAGAGATTCGTGTAGGGGACTCTATATGCATAGTCAAGTTAAATGAGGTTAAAAGATTATTTAGAGATTGGGTGGCTAGAGATTTCTTGTCAGCGTAATTAATATTTAAATCTCCTGCTACCAGAATAGTTGCATTTAACGGAAGTACATTGAGAAGCTGTTCTAACTTTTGTATGAAAATATTCACATCAGATGTGGGGGTTCTATAAACACATACTACATACATGTTCAATTTTTGTGAATGCAACAAGCAAAATTCAAATGTTTTTTCTTCCAAATAATCATTGAATTTTTCCACGTTTACGAAATTTACATTTAGTGAATTATTTTGAAAAATCATAGTTCCTCCATGGATGCTCTCAATTCTACTGTATCTAGACACTTCTGTATAATGAGGTAAGTAAAGAGGTTCATTAAGAGCAAGCCAATGTTCAGTCAACAAAATCAGATCTGGACGATTTAATTCCTCTAGGAGAACAGATAATTCGTTAACTTTGTTTCTGGCTGACTGAATATTTAATAACATAAGGGATATTGATTTAGGGTTGGTTGTGGTTTTGCATTTCATAGAATGAGTTTGATGCGGAAGAGTAGTACTTGCTGTTGTGGAAGATTCTGGTTGGGTAGTGTGGTCCAGGGTGCCGATATGTTCTTGAAGGAGCTCTGTTGTAGTTTCTAGGATGTCCAATTCCGAGGGTGGTATATGTAGAGTTTGTGTTTTCTTTTGTGGTTTCTTTTGTGTATAGTTGAGGAGAGTAGTGGCATTTTGGGTTAATATTGTATTGTTTGTAGTTTCTTGAGTGGAGATTATTTTCACCATATTGTCTTCTAGGTGGATAATTGCGCTTTTTTTGTGACGGCATTTTTGTACTAAAGGACTGAGGTCTCTGACACTGTTCTCGTGTATGCTCATTGAATGTTTTTTTGTGTTGAGTGTTGGCACGAAAAAACTGAGTTGGTCTGCGCTCTATTTCTGCCTCAGAGTTTTTAATGTTCTTCAGGTATCCATTTTTAGCATTATCAGTCAGACAAACTCGACAAGTCTCAGTCGCACATCCTTTAGTCGTCAACCTCTAGATACGTCGAACAACTCTCTATCAAAATGAGTCTATGGAACGGCAAAGCTTCGGGATTTTTTGCTCAGAGAAGTATCCACAAGACCTTCTAGAACTTCCAAAACCTCAACAAACAACCATTTTCTCTCTATCCTGTATGTTGTTACGAACATAATGGGAATTTTTCCGAAAGTCAAAAAATACTGCAAATACTCTGATTGTTTGTTAGTTTCTGTGCTATTTAACCACCAGAAGTTTGATTGTGGAGGTGGACGGAGTATCGTCTGATACCATTGCCATCAATTTCGGCATTCCACAAGGATAAATTTTGGCAGCAACATTGGAAGCAACCACTTGCCCTATCCATGGCTTTGCAGACGAATGTACTCTCCATGCGTTCTCATCTAGAATTCCCATTTCTTCCCAGGAAACTAAGAACTTACGACGAAGGCTGGCCACCGCTGTCGATAAAGATCTTGCGGAAATTACAGCCTGGGGAACCAACAACCTAGTTGAATTCAACGCCACCAAAACTGAAGCTCGTATTTTCTATAGAACGGCGGAACTCAGCATGCCTGATATAACAATTTCTGGTACCAATATTCCCACCAAGACCACCATATCTAAAACTCGAATTTTTATTCCGTGCGAAAATCTACTTTACACCTCAACAAATTTTCATGATCTACAAAGCACCAGATAGGGTCAGTTTTAGAATATTGTTCTTAGGGTTTCATCGAGACGAGAAATCTCGTCTCGAAGGCACTTTCTCGTCTCGTCTCGATCATCGAGACGAGAAACAGACAAACTCTCGTCTCGATGTTTTCCTCGAAGACAATTTCTCGATCTCGATTCGAGACTCTCGAAATTTCGAGAGTCTCGAAAACAAAAACTGAACGTTAATAAAAAATGCTATGTATAGGTTATATAAGACTGCACCAAAATACATCAGGGTATTGATTTCTCTCTATAAAAAAATCACGTCGAAATACAGAGGCTATATGCTATGAACTAAAAGCCACGTAAAAAAAAACCGCCGAGTATCAGCAACAAAATAAAGAATATTGTTCCAAAAAATGAAAATTTAACGAATCTCTGATGTTTCAATCTAATCTAATCTTTTATCCATACCATATCCAAAGGTGAAAGTTTAAAATTGTTTCTTCGTTCGTGAAGAATGTAACAGCATCATCAGCAACAAACTCATTTTTTATAATCGAAACAGTCGTCTCTCAAAAAAAAAAAATTATTGAGCATTATTAGTTATTATTACGAATTGGGGAAGAGATTTAAAGCAACAAGCAATATCTAAATTCGAAAACTTGTATAAAGAAGTTTATTATGTTACTTCCAATAACGATATTCCTTCAACATCGCAGCCTCTTACTGACTATGATGTTGATGACAATACCGACGATTTTAATTTGCAAAGTTTATTCGAAAAAAGCAACGGCAACAGAGAGCATAACTGGAGAAATGAAATAGATGAATATTGTTTGTCTAAGAGAGCTGAAGAATCAAGATATTTTAGAATGGTGGAGAAAAAACGAGGCCATATATCCGAATTTATCAAAGATGGCTCGTGATTTTTTGAGTATTCAAGCTACTTCAGTTCCGGCAGAAAGACTGTTTTCAAGAGAAACACTTACTATCAGAAAAGAACAAAGCCGATTAAAACTGGAGAATCGGCTCAACTTTTACTATGTTTGAATTCTTGGCTACGTACCAGAGATATATTTACAAGTGTGTAAACAACAATTTTGTTCTCTGTTGGAATACTTTGTTTATTGTTCATTTATTTTCTTATGTTTTGTTAATTTTTGAGTGTTCAAATTTGATTTTCCTATTTGATAGTTTTCAATAGTTTGAGACGTTAAAGTCCTCTAAGAATATGAAGATATTTATTTCTACCGTTTTTATTTACTTTGTTATTTTTGTTATTTTTTTGTTATTGCAGCACATATATCTTTTCGAGATCGAGAAATCTAGAAATAATTTCTCGATCTCGAAAAATCTCGAAGTGCTTTTCTCGATCTCGTCTCGAAAAATAAAAGTTAGTCTCGAATTTCGAGAGTCTCGTGAAACCCTAATTGTTCTCACATATTATGGGAATCAGGACCCAAACATACGCTGGTGCTCTTGAATTCCGTCCAGAGAAGTGTCATTGGTCTGGTGGGTTATGCCACACTCACTCATACTTCGACCTCATCAGAAAACCATAGAAAAGTCGGCAACCTTTCCACTTCTTTATAGATCCTTCCACAGTAAATGTTCCTCATAAATATCCAGCAAAACTAGTCAGACGAACCCGACAGGCCCAGTCAGCACATCCTTTCGTTGTCAGCTTTGAAATATATCAAACTTTATTAGCTCAGTGCTCTTCATTACAGTTAAATCTACAATAAAATACAATTAGTCAATAAATGAAGACATAGAAGTAATGAACTCAGACACAGACACATGAATTACGTCACATATTTTGAGATTGCATCAAACTGGTCATGATTTGCCATGGGCTGACGATTCCCGGGTTTGTGCCTATAGGTTGAGATCGCTCAGTATTATGGTTGAGTGGAAGAGCAGCTGTCGATTTATCGGCGAGTTGAACTCTGCGTTTTGCTTCATTGAGACAATAAAAGCATTTATTATTATCATTATTATTATAAGGGTGATTTACAGATTTCTCCTCTCTCAATTGATCAATCAATAATTTCACAAATAACACACAACAATTCTTCAAAACTATCTACTGACACATATTTTTTCATTTCACAGGGCAAATTTCTGATATTGTGTTTGTGACAATGTAAATCTTGAACATAGTTCAGCTCACATGTTATTTTTAAATTTATTAACAAAAATAAGTATATTATATGAAACTCTTTGTTTGATATATTCATTAATTGCAATGTGTCGAACAACAGTTTAAGAATACTGGTTCGTCTATAGAACGGTAATTAAGCATTGGAATTATTTGCCAAAGGAAGAAGAACTAATAGCCTCCAAAAGTTGAACGAAAATTCCAAAACCTAACTCCGCTCCTTGTCCTCCCTAGGTACGTACGAACGATGTTCTTCGAGCATTATCGGAATTTTCTTTCGTGCGCTCCAAGTGAGACAAGGTTTATTGGCAGAAAGTGTTTGAAATCTATACCATCTCTGAAATATTTAGCATTCCTTCCGTGACAACCCCCCGTATCTTAGTTTATAAAAAGTTGAGATTTCTTTGTGGAAAAAGTCTACTCGATCCTCTTTTGTTTCAGCTGCACGAAATAGGTCACAAGGGAATTTAGCAATGGATATTTTCGAACAACACCAAGGAACACATATATTACAGGTATATATAAAGTCAAATTCATATAATTTTGATCATGTCAGGGTGTCAATTTGAAAATTTGCTATGCGAATTTTGCCATTTATTTTTTATTTCTTTTTTTATCAATTTATCCACGGAATAAACCCCATTACAGTATAAATTTTAAAAAATTATATATAACACATTTTAATGTACCAGACATAAGTAAGTATACGTATATGAAACGTATGCCTATACCCAACAATGGCTTTGTAACTAGTTTACATCATAAGTATATGGAATAGATGAGATTAGAAAGCCTATGAAACTAACAATAACAAATTCGATGACTAATCAAATGCCACTCTCTTCTACTTACAAGCTATTCAATGATTTTTTGAACATATTGTAAGACAATCCAAATATATTGATGTTCATGTCGGTCAATAACTTCAGAGTTCTTTCCAAGGGTGCATGCTTTTATGCTTGGCATAATTTGTAAAATGGAATGGTGAGTGAAATAACAATTTATGTCTAAGATTCCTGTTTGGAACGTTGAAGTTAATTGATTCGAGTAATTCCGGACACGATATGAGTCCATTGAGGAGTTTGAATTCAAAACAAAGATCTGCGTAAGTTCTTCTTGTTTCCAACGATTTGAGCTCGGATTCAAGGTTCAGTTCACGTAAAATATCTGAATAATCGTGATTTTGTATATGAATAGCTAATTTATATGCACAAAACCTCAAATTTTGACACAATTAGAATCACCATATTTCAGCGAATGTCAAATCTCAAAGAATGACAGATCTAACTTAGTATTACTCGCCCGTAGATACAAGATGTTTTTCTTTGTAAAAAAATTATTGTACAGGTGAATATACTACTAAATGCAAGACCTTTCATTTGGGGTATCACAAAAAGGGTAGTACCATTTTACATTTGAAAGTTGGGTGACTCACCCTTTCACTGAAATTATGTTGGTTCTAGTTCCCCCCAACTCTATAACATTTATGCCAAACGGCATTCTTCCGGTTTTTTAGTTTACGTGCGATATTCGCATTGAAAGTTTCCAAACTGACACCCTGTATACGGTGAATCATTGAGAAATTATAATAACCCAAAAACAGGTATCTAAGCATTTCAATAGAACGAGTGATCAGATTATTATTAGTTGGATTTCCTCAAAATAAACCTTGGCAATAGTCTCCAACCAATATGGTTTATCAGATTAGAATCAATCAATATGAAACAAACAATAAACAATTCACTGTTTTCTAAAGTTGAAAGATATTATTTCACTTGGTCACCTGATACCTGATAACCTGATGTAAGGCAGAATACATATATCATGTATGTAACTATAGTTTGACTTTGACTTGGTCAATTCTTTCAATGGTGATAATAAATCATATTGCAATGCGTGAAGCCATTTGGGCACAATAAATCAGAATTGCCAAAATCCGACTTGGTCTAATGGTCATACTTTTTATTGCAGTATTCGAACGATAGATATAGATATATCTCCCCTATTTTATCTTTTCAATCGTGATAAGGCTATTTCATACCTCATCTTCAACATTTTTTGATGAATTATACTCAATAACGCATCACTGTTTCGATTAAAAATTAATGTTAATACCGAAGAAATGATTTTTTGGAGATTGAGAATACAAAAATATATACCCAAAATACCATAATGTATTTGAAAAAGCCTACCTACATATTTTCGTAACAAAGATATCTACATAGTAATCATTGGTGGGCTACTCTTCAAAATATCAGAGAAAGAATTAATGAAGATGAAACTTCGTATCTGTTCACCCTGTATCAAAATTAAAGGAGTTGATGTAACCGGTGAAGTAGTTACTCAATGGAGTAACTAATCGAAAGCAAAGACATTGAAATTTTCTATTGAATAACTAATATCCCATATTATATGAGGTATTACGGTGAAATCTCAACTTTAAGCTTGAATCGAGTATTTTTTGGTTTAAAATTGTCTGATTTTTGTGATTCCTCAACAAACAATAGTAGTCTTATGTAGAAGTCCGTACTTCTCTCTCAGTGGATGAAAGGGTTAGAAAAGACAAAATCATCTCCACAACGTTTATATACAGGGTGGTCCGTTTTTTAATACGGAAAATTTAACAGCATATAGTACTCGTTGAAATAATAAATAAACTTCCTATGAACATATACTTTCAAACGCTTCGTTTTCGAGATATAGGGTGTTCAAGTTTCTTTAAAAAATCGATTATTTATTGATTTCTCAGAAATGCTATAACCGATTGTGATGAAATTACAATAGATGTGAAAAGTTTAGTATCTGTCTCGGTATCTGTGGAAAATTTTGTTGATTTATCTACCGTTTCTAACTTTTGATTAAAAAAATATATTCAGAAGCGTATTTTTGACACCCAATATCTCAAAAACGAAGCGTTTGAATGTATATGTTCATAGGAAGTTTTTTTATTATTTCAACGAGTACTATACGCTGTTAAATTTTCCGTATCAAAAAACGGACCACCCTGTATAATAATCGAAAGATTATGTAGGGGAACATGTGTCATGCGTACATCATCAGCCTCAATCCTTACAAACCAAAGGTCGTGGGAATGAAAAAACATAGGTTTGTTTTCGAGTAATTATTTTACTCCACAGTTTTTTTGGTTTTTCCAAAAATGGGTTTTGCCATTAAATCTTAATCATGTACGTCCTCATAGGGGCACAGGACACCTTTACAATTAACCTGACCCTCAACCGGTGCTTTACACAATAATTTTATTCAAAGTTTGTCATAATGTTTTCGCATTCCCACGACCTTTGGTTTGTAAGGATTAAGGCTGATGATGGACACATGACTGTCCCAAACATGTTCCCCTAAATAATCGTTCGATTATCAAACGTTGTGGAGATGCACGACTAAGTCGCAAGGTATGATTGATGAATCTACCTATACACCTTGCACTTAAGCCACAGAGCTCTATACTGTGCTTAAGCCACTAGATGGCTATGAAGGCTAGATCGACCTTCTGCCCCCTCAGGGCTTCGACTTGTTTGATATATGGAGGTATTCTTCGTGAATCGATTGTCAGCTGGCCAGTGCAACTGATGAGACTTATGGCAAGTCGAAACAGTCTGTCTTGCATCAGCTGACAATCGATTCACTAAATTTCCTAAGAATCTCTTAGTCTTGAGATTCTAGTTTCATCACCATCTGTTAGTGAAACATTAAACCACTTTGAGAATTACAAGTGTTGCGATAGTCTACAGAATCTGACATGTATGTCTTTTCTGTAAGCATTTAGACGTAGGGGTATCTATATGCACGACTTAGTCGCAAGGTATGATTGATGAATCTACCTATACACCTTGCACTTAAGCCACTAGATGGCTATGAAGGCTAGATCGTCCTTCTGTCCCCTCAGGGCTTCGACATGATTTTGTGTTTTCTAACCCTTAAAACACTAGTAGGCCTAGAGAATATGGATATTTCAGATTTGTCCACATTTTCGAGCAGAGCTCGCTGGTATTATGGAATTCTTGTTTTCGAAATTCAGTCAACGGGTTTCCTAATCAGGAGGGTGTTGCCAGTTGAAATCGCTCACACTGTATGCCAAATTTCAATTCAGTTATGTCATTTATAATAATGAATGTATCCAAGGATTGATTCCTTTCTCTACGGTGAAATGGATTGAATCGAATCGAGTATTCGACGTAGCCATGAATTCATCCAAATTGCTCTTATCGGTATCAAAAACAGCAAAAATGTTGTCAACATATCTTAGCCAAACTCTTGGGGACTTCCTATATAACATAATTTTCGAACCTACTCATAAACAAGTTAGCATCAAATGGTGATAGATTTTTGTCATTGCAGTGCTTCCATATGTTGTTCAAAAAACTTGTTTATTTGAAAACAATTCTGTCATGCGAAAATTACTCAATCTTACATAATTATCATTTTCTCATTTTTCAATATGAATAGTTCTTGTCAGTACGCCATTATTTCTTGTTTCTGATTCTGATTAGAATACTATAGGAAACAGTTATGTGTTGCGTCAAATGACCAATATTTGATCACCTTCCTCATTGGATACAATTCTTGACAAAAAAACTTTCTTGAGGAGAAGGTACATTGTTGAACTCACTTTTTAGCTATTTAGACAACTGGTGAGAAGTTGAGTTGATGTCAGACACTATATGTGTCTCAGGTACCATCAGGTTTATGAATTTTATACATTCATCAGTTCAAACTTATGATATTTCGATATCATCAGCTGCTGAACGAATTAGTTTTGGCAATAGATTTATCTGAACATTTCATGATGACCATTTTCGACTAGATGTGGTATTTTGGATATATTTTCGTATTTCTTAAATTATTGTTGAACAATCAAAAATTAATTGATGCTTTCTTTCAGTCTTTAGATGGATTCGCATTAGCTGTAGCATCTGACGGACGATTCTTATACATTTCTGAAACTGTATCAATATACTTAGGACTTTCACAGGTGAGTGCATACTATAACTGATTTCGAAAACAAAAACTTTGCTTGAAAACGAGAGAGATGGTCCACGTTTGTTGGTAAGCTGACTAATGACTATATTTTGACTAAATACTCTTGGTCAGTGTGGCATAAACTGTATACTTGGTAAAGTTACCAGCTTGGTTTGGTACCGAAATTCGTTGCGTACCAGACTAAAATAGTATGATGACCAAGACGGTGTAAATATTTTGGTCCACTTTTGTATAACCTTGACTTGACTTGAGTGCAAGTGGCAGTTATTTCATGACTTCTCATAACAATATTTTAATCAATTTCAGCTAATTTCGAATCATACTAAAAGGTTAGCGAACCTCACAAAAATAATCAAATCAAAACAAAGTTGGTAACGTTGGTCAACTGAAGATACATGGTGTAAACATGCGTTAACCAAGGAATTTGGTCTGAATTTAGTTAGTACTCCTTGGTAAGCATACCAACAATCCATATAAGGTATAAACGTGGCCATGGTCTCTGCTTACTGAATTTGGTGGGTAGCAAGTATACCAAATTTTCTTTTATTGATGAAATATCACTATAAAAACCGATCCCCTGAATCCAAACATGCGAAAATATTAAGAGTGTTCTATTTAAAAATCAAACAATCCGAATTAGTTACGGTTTTTTCGGTTGAACCATGAACTGATGGAACAGATATTTTATTGTCAATAAATGAGTAGTTCGGACTCGCCACCGACCAAATTTCAAAATTTAATTTGGAATGATTCAAAAATCACATCAGCACTGCCCGTTTATAGTGCAGTTCTCTGTATATATACCATATATTCGCAGTTATAATAAAAAATCATATACGTACGCCAGAATTCGAAACTAGGGGAAATTCGTAACAATCGATGAAAATATAGGGGTGAACAATATTTATTTATTATACAAGGAAAAAAGGTAGTAGATTTCAGTTCAATCACTGAGAAAAAAATCGACGGTAATTAAAAATTGAATAACCTTCATAAAAAAATGTTATTGAATAGGGGACAGCCTAGCTGTCTTATAAAAGCGATTCAATTCATTTTGCTCTGACCACCCAATAACAGTTACTAGATAATTTAATGAATCATGACACCGTGGACGAGTTAGGGTTATTCAAAAAATTGCGAACTCATAGTGGTCGTTTAGTAATTTAAGTAACCTGAAGTGGAAAGGAAGATGAAAGAACTTGCAGTTCTTTCTCATCGGTGTTATTGGCTTATTTTTCGGAACAGAAAGTTTTCAAAGTCGATTATCTCCTCAATGGTACGCTCCATCGTAATGAACTAGGAGTACTTTTTTTACGTGTGAAACTCTAGAATTTTTCAATTTTCAAACGAAATCACAATAGCCTGAATATCACAACAACACACGGGATGTATTTACACTTACCCTCCACCGCATGTGACGCCACTAAATAAAATTTTGGAATTTTGATTTCAGAGTTTTATTAACCATCAAAATGTTCATGTCGTACACAAATTTATGAAAATTCATTGTGAAGGATATCAAAGTTATAGAGAAAGAATCGTGTTTGAGGTGTCCGATTCAAAGGGGCGTAGCTCACTTTTGAATCACCCTGTATAATACATATATCCGGGAAAAATGTGCTCACTTTTTTCCCGATTGAAAGAAGAAATTTATGGAAAGTGACATTCCATAACCTGTCAACAGAGATGAAATGTCAAACTTTTTTTTCGCTACAGAAAAAAAAGGTATGATTTCAAATTGAGAATTTTTTTTTATGTGTGTGAGCATTATCGGAGACCTGGGTGCTGATGTTCAAGTTTGATAGTGAATGATACTCGTGGCCACATGTAGTACCGCACGGATGAGTTCTGGGACCAATATTATTTCTAATTTATATTAATTCGATATTAACTCTGAAATTAAAAGAGAGGTATGCTGAAACTATTTGCGGATGATAAAACATTGATTCGAAAGAATTGAAAAATATGATAAAACCTTAGCCGTGGCACTTGATATCGCCAAAAGACATTCGATCGAGTCTGGCACCATGCACGGACTCATCATCGCCAAGCTTTCATCTTATGGCTTGCCTCCCCAGCTATGTTTTCTGCTAGCTAGTTTTCTCGCAAACAGGTCTCTCCATGTAGTGGTCGACGAAGGTTCATCTGACTCTCTCGTCATGAATGCTGGTGTTCCGCAAGGATCAATTCTAGCACCAACACTTTGTCTACTCCATATCAACGATTTGTTGGAAGCAACTTCATTCAGTACACAGCTTCACGGATGATAGTACCCTCCATTCCGTCTTCTCTTCCAGGGCTCCAATACCAGCCAGGCAAATCAGAAACGAACAAGGGAGAAATGTTGACAACATAAATATGGACTTGGCAACAATTCTCGAATGGGGATCCAATAACTTGATAGATCTCAATGCAAACAAAACACAAGCATGCCTTTTCTCTAGAAAAGCCGATCTCACTGTGCCCAACATAAGCTTGTCAGGAGTAACCATATACCTTTGAAGAAATCCATTCCGATGCTTGGTATATTACTATCAGCAATAACCTTCCTTGGGAAAATCGCGTGAGATCAATTCAAAAAAGTGCATCCCAAAAACTTGGTTCTTTGTTTCGGGTCAGGAGCTATTCCACTTCCAGTTAGCTGCTTATGATCTATAAGGCACAGATCCAACCTATCCTGGAATACTGTTCCCATATTTGGAGTGCAGCACACAAACATGAAACTGTTGGATTCTGTCCAAAAAAGGGCAATTCGTCTCGTGGGTGATACCTCGCTCATAAACTCACTCACTTCTCTGGAACACCGTTGAAAAGTTGGAGATCTGGCTCTATTTTATAGATATTTTCATGGACGATGCTCTTCTGAAATATCAACAATTGTTCCTCCCTTGGCAGTCCCCGCGAGATTAACACGTCGAGTTGAGGCTTCGCACCCCTTCGTGGTCACTTTGGAGACCTGCAGAACATCTCTTTCCAAAGACTCGTTCATCCAACGAACAGCGAAGCTCTGGAACACATTACCAAGGCAGGTGTTTCCCGAGGCATAAAACCTCCAGAAATTCAAGAAGAACACCAATTCCTACCTTATTTCCCTTGGTTCTCACGATGTTTTCTGAACATTACAGGATATCCATTTTCGTGGGAACCAGAACCACTGAGTGGAATTCATTAATTAAACCTTTATTAAAAACAGAAATGTTTCTTGGGTTAATAAAGACAATCAATCAATCAATTATTGATATATGTAGTGAGAAAATGCCAACCTGACAAAAATGCAATAGGAACAATGTGGAAAGTTACAAATTATTTAGAGAAACTCATCGCACGAACAGAATATTGAAAGTCTATACCTAATTCCACAGTACTACTGAGTACACTGTCAAACTTAGTATGCAGAGTTGATGACAGACACGAACAGTTGAATGAAATAATAAAAATTCTAAATGGCTAGCTAGTTAGGAAATCATTCTACACAAATCTGGCGAGTACAGTTATATAACCTACTAAGCTGGTCGTAATAAGTTAGGGATCAAGTTATTTCCCATGAAAATGTTGAAGATGAACAAAATTTTCTTCCGTCCAGAGTCTAGTCATCATTATCGATCACCGAAAAATGTTAATTTCACTTGTGCATCAATTTAATAATGATCCATTCTTACAGGGTGGTTTCATTCAAATTGACAACCTTCAAATGAATAAGTATGCTGCAGTGACAATTATATGACAGACACAGTTGAAAGTTTGTCAATACATTAGAAATGCAAGGTTCAAACTTTTTTTCTGAACAATTGGAATTAATTATCAAAATTGCAAAATCATGTTTGCCAATATCAAATTTCAACGTGTTTTTTTTAAGAATACCCATTATATTCATTTCATATCTGAAAAGAGCTTTCGTTTTATTTCAAAAGTACATGATCATTTTATTCATTGCAAAATATAAGTCTTTCGATATTTTGGGAGATGCATGTGCTATTCAGCAATTCAGCAGGTCAAAACGCTCGTTTTAGTGAACGTGTTTTGCACAAATAGAAAACCAATGAAATCAATCAAAACAATGCCGGATCCAAATTTCGAACTTTTTCATTGAACCCCTGTAAATCATTGACCGAGTTTGGATTGTCTGATTTCTAGAAAAAATATTATGACGTTTATCATGATGAAAAAAGGGAGAACGCTCCCTTCTAATTCCCGAAATAAATTCCCAACCTCGACATACGTACAATATAAGATAAGACCGAATTTTGACGCATCAACGTGCTACAACCTACTCATTTAGTCAGCGCATAAACTTGTAAAATTGGCAATGAGGGTAAAACATGTATTGGTGACATTCACTACATCAATAAATATCGAATCATCCCGACAGTTCACAGTTGATATTTTCTTGAATTCAAAAACAAGCAATATAGGAAAGAGGATTCTGACGTCAGTGCTGGATAAACGAGTGTGTTGCCGAAAGCTAATTTCTTTTTTAACGCTTGGATCGCACAACGACAAACGAGTTTTGATATAGTACTGTTCGACATATTTCATGGTTGAACGTTCCATGAAATTTGGGCTGAATATCTCGAAAACTCACAGAGCTATAAAGAAAAATCGCTCTATATAGATCAGTAACGAAGCGTTCGTGGACACACTTTTATAGGAAAAAAAGTCCTATGTTGATCAGGAAAATAGACCGCTGAAATCTTGATATATTGAGTTTTTAAAAGTTCCTTGAAAACATGCTAATATTTAAGGGGGTGATTCTTCAACGCATTTCAAGAAAAAAACTTCTCACTAACGAATGTCCTAAAAGTCTTAATTTTTGAAAAAAAAATAAGTTTTTCAATTATATCTGGAATAATATTGTAATCATCTTTATGAAATTTGGTACATGTCTTCTATGCATCAGGGTGCATTTTTTGATGTGTACAAATTCAAAAGGTATGCTATAAAAAGACATTCAATTTTGTACAAAAAAGATCCTCTTGTTGATACCCGACAGGA